ATTTTAAATAGAAATTTAACTTTTTTTTTTTTATTTTAACGGTTTTTTTTTAGAGAGGAGAAATTGTTCATAGTTATCGAGGTACAGGTGGTATTTTTGAAGTTTGTTGGAACAGTCGAGGTACTCGTGTGGGTGCAAGTGCTTCCGACGGAACAGTAAGTCTAAATTTAACACATAAGAAAGAATTTTCAATATATATATTCTTTTTTTTCCAGGTGTGTGTACTCGATCTACGTAAATAAAAAGAAAAGATTCGAATGAACTATGATTAAACATTAGGTCAATGTGTTGTTGTTTCTTTCTTTCTTTTTTTTCTTTTTTGTTTACTTATACAAAAAACAACAAAAAAAAATCCCAAAAGAAAATACTCGTATTGTTGTTATCTGTTGTTTTCTTCTTTTTCTTTTATCATCATCCCTCCTGTCAACGACGATCTCATAGAAGAAACAAAAAAAAAACAAAAATGAAATATATGTTAATCTTTTTTTTCTTTCTTCTTTTGTTCATCTTCTTGCACATGTGTATTTTGTTGTTCTCTCTTTTCTCTTTTTTTGCATCTGTCTATGTTGGACTTATTGTCTGTATCTTCTTTTCGTTTCTTTTTCGAAAACTTCAAAGCAGTGATATGTATGTAAGTTTGTGTGTGTGGCTGACTTTATTTCTCTCGGTTTTTACATGCCCTTATGTATATGATGATGAACTCGTGTTCCATTATAAATATTTCATACGAGCATACAGATGACGACAAACAGACAAAAAAAAGAAAAATTTGTGAATTCTGTAATAATGCTTGTTTTTGTTTTATTTCATCAAAATCTATTCAAACATTGAGAATAATGCTTCGAGATTTGTGATGTTGATTAATCGATTCGAACTTCGGGGAAAAGATATGTTTAGTGGTTTCAATCGATCTAATTCCAGTGTATGCTAACGACTGCAACACAAAATTACTTATTGAACAGTATGACAATGATTATGAGTAATTAGAAAGATTTGACAGTAAATCATCATTCAAAAACCTTCATACAATATGTTAAATCAGATAATAGAGAATATTTTATCTTCACTTATTCCTGTAATAATTAACCTGTTGATCAGTAATTCTATAGAATACAACTGTGCCGATCATTAGGGATGTGGGTACGAAGTGTGAGTCTTGTCATCCCCCAAATCCATACCATCGTGATAACTGTTCGAAAAGGAAACTCTTTAAAGGGCTTATTCAATCCAGTATTTTTTGAAAAAGAGTTAGCACACTTCAACTGAATGTTTGTTTTCTAAACTTTCAACTCGTAAAAGTCACAAAGATGTTCAACTATTGCGGGTGTGACACCCTCGATTCTACCCCGTCCGGTTGAATCACCACTGAGTTTATTTCACCATACTACTAAGTCGTTTAGTTAAAATATCTCTAAAGTAAAAATAAATTCATGTATTCTTACCAATAAATTATTTAATAGAAAGGATGTAATACAAATGCTTATTTCTATTCAACATATTCCACCTATCGTAATACCATTAAGCAATGCAATCTACGATAATTTATAAGTCGCACTGGAATAAGTAAGTTGATATTCATCTCTTATCTAATCCATTAGACATTAGACTTGTTTATTAATATGAAATAAATGCGTTTTGGGTGTGGATATGGGCTGTGGGTGGACTAGAGACCCCACTATTACATTCTAAAAAGGTTTTAGATGATGATAAACATAAGAAAATGCTGGTGACACGATATTTCTGTGCTAAATGAAGTTTCTGGTTTTTCTATGTTAAGTTAATACATCTTCTCAAATTTTATTCACTGTTCTGTTGGTGTGAGTGTAGGGATGGAACGAAGGCAACTCGAATCCTAATACCAAAAACCACGTCCCAAAACCCATATCTACTCCAGCAATCACATCTAAATCCCAGATCTACATAGGAACGCATGTCTATAATAACTCAACTGAGACTACCAGCACTCTAGTAATGCTTCCAGCATTCCAGGTAATATGACTAGCAACCCAGCTGTCAGTGTCAGCGTTCTAGTTTTTCATGAAAAACATTCTGTCTGTCAGAACAGATGATGTCCATCAGAGGACTTCCTCATTGAGGTGTTGATTTGAGCATAACTGCTGGAGCAGGTGCCTTAAGATCGAAAGAGCTCTTCGAACAGTTCATTTCATGTGAACTGACCTGTCGAAACAGATCAGATCAGCTCCCCGCACATTCACACATGAATGATATCTATGCATAAGTGCTAATGAAAGTAGAATAAATTCTATCGATCGGTGAAGTTAATGCTTGTAAACATGACTATGCATTTTTTGATTTATTTTAAAAACATTTTTGTGTTTGAAAATTTATTTCTTATATTGAAGAAACTGATCTAATCGTATATCAATGGATAGATTGGATCTTTCTGTGGGTGTTGGTGAAAATAACTTGAGTGCTATTAGCCCATTGATAAAGATATTGTGGGTGCTAGTGGGTGTATGTAGGCGATTTTAGATAGTTTTACATGTTTCTAGAGAGAAGTATTTTCGGCAGAGTTATTTGGGTACGGCACATATTCGTGTCCGAATGTAGATTATGAAGTTCTATGAATATTAATTAAGACCACTTCGGGAGTTTATGTAGACCATAAGAGAGATACTAAGTGTTAGTGTTGAGAACGGGGGAGGCCTTTTTTGGGTCTTTGTTGACGGTTTATTTTTCCTAGCAGTAGGGCAAAGTAGGTGTTAAGATTAAGATAACCTATATGTGTTTTCACAAGATTAGATGTTTTTGCTGTTAGCAGAGATTGCTAATATGCAACTCAATTTAACAACATCTTATATTCATACTGTACATATCATTGATGTACTGGACTAATTTTAAAGATAAATAAGCATGGATAAAAATAATACTCTAGAAAAAATATAAATTTCGAGACTCTTTGTTTTCTATTTGCTATGAGCTTGCTAAGACAAAAAAATTTTCATTGAGAACAATGGCGAACTGTACAACTTCCTAGATTTAACATAGACTTGAATTAAACTTGAACATAACGTGACATAAGTATGCAAGACGAGCTTTTTCTTTTCATCTTTTTTGATTTTGAAATCTTCTAAAAATTCAGTTTTATCTTGTCTAAATCTCAACCTTGTCTGACGCATATACATTACAAGAATCATTAGTTAATTTTTCCCATTACAAGTTTTTTTCTATGAGAATTATTTTAAAAATTAATTCACGTATCCAAGATAAAACTTAAGTTTTCATACCAACTCTATCGATTGTTGTTATGTTCAACTTTACATGAAGTCTTGTTTAATCAAGCAAGTTGCAGAGTTTTTGAGCGTTTTCAACTGAAATCTGATTTATCATGGTAAGTTTCAACTAATAAAAGCAAAAAGAAAATTAGGATCTTTAAACTTATTTCCTTTTGCATAGTATGTTTTTGTTCCATCGATATTTTTTTATCTTCAAATTTAACGTCGTCCATAAATGATATGTGAAGTGTAAATTCAGTATGCCAAAAAGTTTCAATGAGTTATATTTCACGTAAAAATAAAAACAGCTGAAAAATATTTTAGCATATGTGTTTCCTTTTATACAAAAATAATCATTTTATGTCGAAACTTAATAGTCCAAGAATTTTAAATATTACTTCGCTTGTTTATAGTAATGCTTTCGAAAATCAGTGTCCAATGCCGATGCAAAATACGTCATTTATTAGTGAATATGACTAGACTCCATCTAGTAAAAAAAACGAAGTATGGGTCATGCCTTGTCAATATAAATGAGAATTAGAATTTATTTTAAAATAAAAGAATATTATTCTATTCTTTTTCACCTGATTCAAAATGTCTTCTGCCAAAGTTAAAGGGTGTGAATGTGGGTGTGGGTGGGTGTGGGGTGTGGGCGTGGGTGTGTGGATGTGCGTGGGGTGTGGGTTTAGATCGCTAGAAGACCCACACCCACACCCACACTCCACACCCATTTGACCCGAATATGTGCCATCTCTTTAACTGACAACACAAACATCTCCATGGTAAGTGAGAATGATTCATTATAACTTATTATGATACACATTGATTCTCAAATAGCCAATTAATGCTTATTATGTTTGAAATGCAAATATGATAATATCGTGCTCTGCTCTCGATCGTTTTTCTCTCATTTAGTAACGTCACGAAAAAGAAGAACAGGTGATTTTTCTTTTAGACTATGATGACAAAACGACAAAATACATGTCTGCTTGCTTTCGCATATTTCAACTCTGAAATACGACGACTAATTATATGTGCCAGTAGAAAACCGACATTAATTTTTCTTTTCTTTTTACACGTAAAAGTCAAAAATTGATTTCAACAGTAGGTAGACACTTGTCTCTATGCATTGAACAGTTTCTATTGAATTAAACTTACACAGGAGATATCAATCTTGATTAGTAGCCGTCGATCCTGAAAGGCTTTAAAAAGTAGACTAAAATTTTGATTGAACCATCAATACATGTTGTAATTGACAAGCTCTGTTGATCTTTCTGATATTCAGTATTTTCAGTTACGGAATACTCAAAATTTATTTGATAAATAAAATTTCTAGCTTATTTGTGATAAAAGTTTTAGGATATTGTATAAATTCATGAATCACTGGAAAAGTCAAAAGTTTCACATTCCACTCATCGTTTTAGCCGAGGACTTAGCATCTGATCGTTCGTTCAGCGACAGCATGCGGCTAGTAGGTGACGAAGTACAGGTTGCGCCCAACGATAGTGGATAACAAATGGGTCGTCCACAACATGAATCAACAATACACACCGAAGTTGACGACGGACACAAACTACAATCAGCAAGATCTGCGCAATATGTGCTTAGAGCACATAAGCCGGTACCATTACGCATTTTGAAACAGTAGCAATTCGAATTAGATGAACAAGTATGTGTAAACGATCCACAGGTTTGACTAGGACAGGATTCTTAAAGAAATGACAATATAAATACATGTGGAAATAGAGAATACAGTACTTTTCTTCAATTACTACCTGCTATACAACGATAATCTGATTCTCGTCGAGATAGGTGTACTTGATTCCACCATTTCGAATTTCTTAGTTCATCTGCAGCTTTATTCCATTCTTTTTTTTCCAAAGCCGCTTTCATTTTAGTAACGTTATTCAATTTTGCACAACCACTGAAGGCTACATCGATTACTGCTGCACGTTTGACCGTTGGTAAATTAGAGACGTAATGATCAGCACACAATGAAGCTTCTGGATAAGATATTCTATTGAAAATATCGTCAGGTTGATTACTGGTCAGACAGCTTTTGGTTGTTTGCTTTGAACAGTCTTGTAAAACATTTGCAAATGTTAAATTATATCGTGACAGCACGATAGCGGCATCCATTTTTTTAAAATTGAAGCCGATACCAATTGTCGGTATCCCCAACGAGTCAACATATCAGCATAACTTTTTTTGCTTCATTGACTACAGTTTGTTGCGGACCGCATTGTGTTGATATTGCACTTATACATGGAAAAATGATTAGTATTCTCAACATGCGCATAAATACAGCTTTCAATAGTTGCTTACTGTTGACTGATGCAGAGAGAGATGACGTTGTAATTAATTACAAAAATAACTATCAATATGTATATATATAGTGTTAGAACGGAAGTAAAAAAGCAAGATGTTATATTTCATAACATCATATGTAGTAGAAAAAACCGAATGATTAATCATCTTCGTATTTAATGATCATTATTAGGTAAATTACGTTATTAATATTTAAGATGAGTCATACTCTAAAGTAAAAGTATACCTAACAGAAGAGCTCCGCGTATCTGCTCATTGATATTAGCTGAAATAAACCATATCGAAATCGAAATTATTGACAGTGGTTTTGAAACCCTTTTGAGAAGATGTGGCTGTGGGGTGTAGGGTGTGAGGGTGTGGGTGTGAGTGTGTGGGGTGTAGAGTGTGAGGGTGTGGGTGTGAGTGTGAGGGGTGTAGAGTGTGAGGGTGTGAGTGTGAGGGTGTGAGTGTGTGGGTGAGGCTGTGGGTGTGGCTGTGCGGGTGTGGGTTTGGATGTTGATGTGGGTGGGTCTGGGTCTGGGTGTGGGTGCGCGTTTCGGTGTCACTTTCGATATTCTCTGCATGAATAGGGCCATACTCGTACTCATGCTCATAGCCACGCTCCACACCCACACTCACACTCATAGAAATGGATAATCTCATATATTTGAAATTAAATATAGTTAGATTTATTGTGATGATCCGAATCCTGAAGATAGTCCACGTTGCCGAAAAAATGATAATAGAAGTAAGGCTTATTTTTTTTTGGTCCAGATATAACAGAACAGTTTCTTAGCAAAAATCATTTTTCAGTGCTTGTACGTTCACATAAAGTTAAAGAAAAGGGCTATGAATTTGAACACAACAGCAAAGTTTTAAATATTTTCAGTACATCGAATTATAATGATGGATCCAATTTGGGTGCTATTACACGATGGTTAATAACTATGATAATGATTCTTTTTTTTTCGTTTTAAATACGAGATTTATTTTAGAGATTATAAGACAGAAGATCCATGGATTATGTCATATACATTTCAATATATTGCTCCAATTGAAGAGTTAAAGTTCTATAAACAGTAAGATAATCGAAATTGAGATGTGTCTTTGTTATTTTTTCGTTTCGTTTAAAGAGTAAACTTATTCGAAGATCCCATTTATCAATCATTAATGAAAAAAATTGTGGCAAAGAAAAAGTTTATTTCAAAAAGAATTCGAAAGGTCAGATAGAAATCAATCTAGTATTCAATTTCTAATAATATTTCTTTGGTACATAATTGTCTTTATCTAATTAGAACGTATATCTTCGATAGCTTGGGCCGATATAATGAAAAATGTTCTTCAAATTGATTTGCCTTCGCGTACTTTACGTTCAAACTATTGGAAAAAAAGACACACAAGGAATTCTATATAATACTATGTTTGAAGAATATGCTTTAGATAATACGATATTTCAATAAGTATTAGGAAAAAAAAGAAATTAGAAACTATTTTGTACTACAGACTTATTATTCTAGTCTCATAGAAGCAGTGGCGTACGCAGGGGGGGCCGAGGGGGCCCGGGCCCCCCCCTTGAGACGAAAAAGTCCTGGAGGGGGTACAGGAAAAAATATTTTCACGTTATAAAAAATTTTTTGTGCCATGGCCGGCCCCCCCCCCCCCCTTGAAAAATTTCTGCGTACGCCACTGCATAGAAGTATTATGGAAGATATATATATACATCAAAAGATGCACTTATGTCATTATTTAATTCAATTGATTCTGACCACTCAGGTAGAATTTGTCTCATCAATATCTCGGTCGAGTTCGAAGATGAGAATGATTCGTCGAGCCATTGCTGAGTTATCGGAAAGGAGTCATTATTCCGTATGCTTTTCTATGCGAACATTGACCTATCCCACTTTTCGTAAAAAACTTTTCCTCTCATAATCAAACAAAACTCCAACTATTCTATACCATTCGATAGAGAATTTCAAGAGCTACAAAACGGTATTTAAAACATTAAGAAACAAGAAGGCTAAGTCACCTATTGTAAAGACACTTAAACGGAAATTGGTTTTGTTTTTGTCCACATTCCAATTGATCGAAAAGTAAAGCTCCATATTCCGATCACAGAGATGATAGTTCGAAGTTTTCTAGGACGGAGAACTCGAAGCTGAGCTCCGCTTGCCTCGAAATCCTATTGACTGAGCAGTAACCAATAGAAATCAAGTTTTACGAAAAACAACTTTCTGAGAGTAATTCAGGACGAAGAGTTTAAATCCGAGCTATATTTGCTCCAAAACCCTATTGGTTGAGCAGTAACCAATACAATTCAAGTTTTAATAGAAGGGGCTCGCTAGGATAATTTTGATGCGTACATGTGCTAGGATGACTCATGTATCCAGTTCACTTTTTGAAGTACACATAACACTCGGATTCAAATCCGATGTTTCCACATTTATTTTGCTTTGTAGACTGAAATGAAAAATCTATCAAATTAATTCTTTTATTCTCAATATCTTTGAATTTCTTTATATTCTACAGACTTTTCGTATTGTTAATATAAAAAAACCAAGAAGTTTACTTTATACATAAGAAAAAACATATAGAATTATATAAATATGTTAATTAAAATAACTTGAAAACGAATAGAACTATATTCAACTTTTAGGAGCAATATATGAAAATAACAATTATATCCACAAATATTCATTCCTCGAATTTATAAAACATAAACAAATTAGTTCGTCTCTCTTTTTTCGTAGTGTTAACTATTTTCTTTTACTTATTTATGTATAAGGAAAAGCATTTAGGTGTGGGTATGTTTCAGATATTCATCCACACCCACACCGTTTGATGTTACTAGAAAAAATATCAATAATCAGTGTTACTTGGATGTTTTTTTCACTTTACTAATATGAATTCGGCCGTTTTTCTAGTATTTTATTCTTCAATAACTAACCCAGGTCGAAAAGTACCGGCCGGTTCCGGCAGGAAAACACCAGAAAGCAACGGAACATGGAAGCAGTATTCCGGTCGGAAATTTTTCGGATTTTTTTCCGGTGGATTCCAGCCAATTCCTGTTCTTTCCGGCAGGAACCCGCCGGAAAAAGTCCGAAAAATTTCCGGCCGGAATACTGCTTCCATGTTCCGTTGATTTCCGGTGTTTTCCTGCAGGAACCGGCGATCTTTCCACGTCTTTCCTGCCGGTTCCTGCAGTATCCGGTGACCGGAACGATCGACTTGGGAAGGAACGTATTGTTTTCTTGATTATCGTGTGAAAATAAAAAGTTGATAATAGACATTTAAGAGCAAAGTAAAAGAGATGATCAAAAAAAATTTTGTCCATTACAGAACAGAAAAGACTGAGAAATATTTAATGTTAATGTAAGAAATGAACAATGCAAACAATATTTTAAAGATCTACAGTCAACAAAAGAGATGAAAATATGGTATAATAAATGAAAATATATAACAAAAAGATGAATTTAAATGAATCCAGTATTTGAATTATTTAATGTTTGCTTCCTTTTTTTTGAACTATCATTAAATCTTTCCAATAATCCAAGTTATTTTTTAAACAAGATTAAATATGGATACATGAAAGATCAATATTTATGAACATGTTTTTGAATAACTATCAAATCTTTTAAATAATTATGATAATTTTCAAATAAAAATTAATTTTAAGCCACTAGCCGAATGAAGCCATTTAATAAAGGAAAAGTTGATATTAGATAGCTAGTTATCTGAATCATTTACTAGTTTTAACTATTTCTTTCGAGATGTTACATTGTCATCCAGCTCTCCAAATGTAAACGATAAAAATTAAATTATCAATCCCTATGATGATTTGTACTAGAAAGCAATAGGATCAAAGATTTTCACTGATCATATGTTGCATTCGAAAATTCCAATGCGAACATCAATAACGTTATTGCAACAATAAATGAAGCACTATGAAAATATCATACCTGTATTTTTTGCAAGCTGTCTACACACAGAAACTGTCAGTTTTCTTTCTTATTGATTCATGATTTACCTTCAGTTGGTTAGAAAAAGGCCTCCTCTTTGTCTTGTTCTGTCACATGACACATACACGTTGATGGTGGCATTCACAAAACTAAAGTATCTATTGGTTGTTCGTCAATATATTACTCCACAGACTTATTATATATATCGACTGCTAAAGTGATGATTTTTGTAATTACAACAACTTATCAAATAAGTTTTCCACAATAGATAGACTTAGATTCAGTTCGATACAAGACCTGTTTATTACCATACTCTGCAATAAATGTTGGCTCCGTGACTTACCCAATATTTTGGCTTGTTTTTCTGAGCATGGTTTTATTATATTACTTCGTGTACTATGATGTTTAAATATTCTTTAAGAAATTATAATGTCTATTTCGTATTTAAAAAATGCGTTTAATACGATATGATGGCATTCATTCAATACTGCGAACATAATACTTCTATTTGAATGATATCTTATTCAATTAGCTGATTGTGAATTTCAAAATTACGATCGTAGCAATTTAGTTTAACACGATATGATTGTATAGATACATGTTTTGAATCATTTCATAAAGTATTTATTACAAAAATTATCGTCATATTTCAGAAATCTGATTTCGTAATGAAGTCCTGCTAAGGGAATAAGACATGTGTCATATGCGTTCTTGAGTCATAACGTCGTAATTTCTTGACACGGTTGCTCGCATGATCCGCTTTTACTTTTGTAATATCTACAAAACGAATGAAGCATGTTCTAACTCTGAATGGATGATTCATCAAGTACTGTGTTGCATTTCATTGACTATTTGCAGATTATGTAAGAGCCATACAATAAAAGGACACACATAAAATTACGTCTTCTTACATTTCTTCGTCCTCAATATTTCAAACTCATTCAACACATCAAATAGAAAGTAAAATGGCTCATGGCATTTCTGATCCAGAAAACAAGAAAGAACATATTGATTCTACCAATGTTTTGAATGATAAATTGGATCAATTAGCACAATGGATTAAAGAGAGTCAACATTTTATTGTATTTACTGGTATTTTTCTATACATGTAGCATCTTCAGAATTGTTTTCAATTGCTACTGATTATTTAGGAGCTGGTATATCCACAGCCACTGGCATTCCTGATTTTCGGAGTGGAATGGATACTGTCTTAGAAACTGGACCAGGAGAATGGGAACTGGAAGAGTAAGTGAAGCATACTAATAAAAGTCATTTATTGAGGCGAAGAATTCATTAATTCTAGTCATAAAAAAAAACGAAAAAAAACAGCTAATGTTATTGATGACATGCAAAAAGCCATCCCATCGCTTGCTCATATGTAAGTTAAGCGTCGGGTATTTGTTCATGCGAAAAAAACCAATTTTAGGGCACTTGTCGCTTTACAACGGCAAGGCAGACTGAAATGTGTCATCTCACAAAATTGTGATGGTCTTCATTTGCGAAGTGGTTTAAATCCGACGAATCTTGCTGAATTACATGGTAATATGAATTTAGAACTGTGCTCTAAATGTGGAACGAAATATTTACGTGATTTTGATACAGTTGGTATTCAAAGTCATTATACAGGACGTCAATGTGATAAACGAAATTGTCGTGGTCGATTAAAAGACTCAATTATTGATTTCGGCGAAGATTTACCACAAGACGCATTGGACAAGGCTTTTGATCATGCAGAACAAGCCGATCTATGTCTTGTTCTAGGTCAGTTGTTATTGAATGTCTTTTCTCTAACAATGATAATCGATTTTAGGCAGTAGTTTGACTGTTACACCGGCCGCTGATATTCCAGAACGTGTAGTAGAACGCAAACAAAAATTAGTGATTGGCAATTTACAACGAACACCTTTGCACAAAGTTGCTACACTTAATATTCATGCATTCAGTGATGCTATTATGAAAGGTATCATGGAACGATTGAATATTCCGATTCCAACTTGGATCGTTCGTCGACGAATTCATGTCACTAGGCAACCTTCTTCGAATAAACAGAACCAATATCGAATTCTAATTGAAGGCCGTGATCCAGATAATGTAGACATTCCTTATACATTATTCGAACGAATTCAAGTAATTGTTGATCAGAAGGTAATTAAGCAACGCCAGCGTCAACCCTTCGTATTTGATCTCGTTGATAATGATCAACAACCGATTATTATTCGATTGCATTTCTTTGGACATTACAATGAAGTTCCTTTTGAGTTAACTTATCCGAATCTGACAAGTATTCCAAAGGACGAACAATTCTATTTGCTCTTTGATCCGATGAAAGGACAATGGAAAAAGACTATTCACAGTGATGATTTACTAGTTTGAATGCATGTTTGTCATCGAAAATAATGTATCACCATTGAGAAACATCATAGAATCTGTTTTTTTTTTCAAATGATGCCTCGTTTAATACTGTTAGAGTGTGAGTGTGGGTGTGAGTGAATGGAATATAATACTCATGTTTGCACCCACACCCGCACTCCAACCCATATTGTATATTCACTTCTTTACGACACAAAGACTTTCAAAAATAAAGTCAATTCTCCTCAAATACGATTCATATTTGAGAACTAATAATTATATTGAACATGATATTACATTTTTAAATTCGTTTACACGAAAATGTTCTGAGTTTCACCTATTTGTGAATGAAATAAAATACGAAGTCAATTATAGAATCGGTAATCATATCCTTTTCTAACTGTCGATAGTCAGATTTTCTTGTACTAATTGAGTAGTTTCATTTTCTTGGTTGTTGTCTGTTCTTTTAATGCTGTCGACTTATGTACATAATAGAGACGTCTTACATACAGGATGTCTCATAATTATAAGACGCCCTACTGAGTTTTGCAAGAAAGAAAGTCTTCTTCAAAAAAAGCAGGTTTCATTTGCAATCTAATGTTATATTCATGGAGACATAGGAGTAATCTACCATGTTCCAATTTTGTTTGAATTCGATCAATTAGCATTGATGAATAAATACAAAAACTTTTGAGACTATCCTGTTTCATAATTACAAGACCCTCTCTCCTCTCAATAAAAAAGTATTGAATAAATGCAAGCTTTGCCAACACAAATGATACTTTTGAGGATGCATTCGAAAGATGAGACACTCAGCTACATGCTGAGATAAAACAAATTGACAAAGGCTTTTTAAACTCTCCTATTGTTTCAGAAACTAAATGATGGACAGATTATATCTCAAATTATCACTATGTAGTTCGAGAAATATAAATTTTCGCTTGTTCAATGTAACGAAATTAACTTTAAAGGCTATCATTAAATCGAGAATCAAAAGTTGCATAGACTATATGTGTTTCAACAAAAGATTTTGAGGCTCTTATTGACTCTGAAAAGATTTTCAAAATATTTTTTTCTGGAGATTTCGCGAAAAACCTGTCTTTATGCAAAAACCCTCTAGTTTCGCTTCACAAAATGTACGTCATTTTGTTCCAAGGACATCAATAAAAAGAGCCCAAAACTCTGCACAAGATAGGCTGTCTTTTCCTTTTTTAATGTCAATTTCAAAAAATTTGAAAACATGGTCTGTTCAAGAAGACAAAACGATAGTACATTTTGCTACAAAAATTAGAAAATTTAGAGCGATCAAAAAGAAGAATGTTTTCAAATTTTTTGAAATTGACTTTAAAAAAGGAAAAGACAGCCTATCTTGTGCAGAGTTTTGGGCTCTTTTTATTGATGTCCTTGAAAAAAAATGACGTACATTTTGTGAAGCAAAACTAGAGGCTTTTCGCGAAATCTCTAGAAAAAAATATTTTGAAAATCTCTTCAGAGTCAATAAGAGCCTCAAAATCTTTTGTTGAAAAACATATAGTCTATGCAACTTTTGATTCTAGATTTAATGGTAGCCTTTAAAGTTAATTTCGTTACATTGAACAAGTGAAAATTTATATTTCTCGAACTACATAGTGATAATTTGAGATATAATTTGTCGATCATTTAGTTTCTGAAACAATAGAAGATTTTAAAAAGCCTTTGTCAATTTTTTTTATTTCAGCATGTAGCCGAGTGTCTCATCTTTCGAATGAATCCTTAAAAGCATCATTTGTGTTGGCAAAGCTTGCATTTATTCAATACTTTTTTATTGAGAGGAGAGAGAGTCTTATAATTATGAAATAGGGTAGGCTCAAAAGTTTTGGTATTTATTCATCAATGCTAATTGATCGAATTCAAACAAAATTGGAACATGGTATTTACTCCTATGTCTCCATGAATATAACATTATATAGCAAATGAAACCTGCTTTTTTTGAAGAAGTCTTTCTTTCTCGCAAAACTCAGTAGGGCGTCTTATAATTATGAGACACCTTGTATTTTCTCTCGTGTACATTATTTTGCCTTATGAATTGTTACGTTGAATGTTTTACTGTTGCTATGTACAATCCTGTACAAAAAAAGTATAAAATCAAAAAAAAAAAAGAAAAGAGAAAAAGAACGACAAACAGCAAGGCCGAAAGAAACACAAATCGAGCATATAATGCTGCCATGAAGCACAAACAAATCATTCGAAAAACAACAAACTGATCTCACATACACAATATTCGATCAAGTTGAAAGAAACCATCAGTTAAGTTCACTAGGTATAGTTGACTTTTATTGCTTGATTTTGAATAGGTAATTTATCAAATGAAACTATGATACTAGAAAGAGTATTTTCAATTCGGCTGAAAGCACTGATAAAAGACATAGTCATTGTTTAGTAAGAAGTTGACCATTGAAAATAGATCTATGCATATGATTATTTCCTATTCACTTGAACTGGACATGATAGAATATTTACCCGTTGTCTGAGGGGTGAATATTCTGAAATTGTGTGGGTGTCATTGATGTGCAACTATTGGTGACACCCACATGCCGACACTCATAGCTCTAGAGAATCATTTTCTTGAAAATTCAATTTCTGTTGGTTTCTGAACAACGAATAGTATTTCGAAAAAAATGGATCTTGGGTTCGGGCTCATAATAGCAGAAAACCTTTAGTCAATTTTGAGTAAACGGCTGATTCTATTCAGTTTTCGGTATGGAAACACTTTATTGGCTGATTTCCTAGCATGAACAAATTCTATTGGTTAGAACTCCGGCTAGAAAAGCACCTGATTGGTTGATTTTCTGCATGAAGATAGTTTTTTGGATAAAGCACTGATAAAAAAACATATGATTATGTAAGCTTTCACTATGCTCAAATTTTGTTGTTCAGTTTTTGACCATTCAGACACCGAGCAAACCTATCAACAATTTCCGTCTGCCATACTCATTCTATCAGGATCGAGAATAATTGTCGCAAAAGTGTTTGAAAAAATTGTTGATGATAGCACTTCTGATTAAGCGTTCTATGTATTTTTTCTAGGCTACATGCTGGCATGATCTCCTATCCTTAATTTTTCTGGCCAAAAATTTTCGAAGCTGAATACGACCTAAAATAGTGGGTATCTGCGTCTCAGACTCCATAATGGCTTTAAAATGCGTGAAAACAGGCTTGGTTATAGGATTCATCTGGTTCGTACTTCTTTTCTTCATTTTTTTGGTCAAAATTCCTAGAGCGCATGTACCACATAAAATAGTTATATCATCTTGAGGGTTCCTGCTTCACTTTCAAAGGGCATCTACACTTTATTAGTCGGTATTCGTCTTCGGAAAATTTTGGACAGTAAAATCAAGAAAAGAGAGTCATACAAGCATATAACCCGAAAAAACTACTTGGAACCCTTAATAAGAAATGCTATTATCAAGACTTTTTTTAAACACTATTCAGACAATCATGAAGTTTAAGGCTACATGATTCACGTAAAATACACATACAAATACTATTCCTTTGCAACGAGTTAATTTTTCGTGTACTACTTTTAGATGATTCATATATGAATTTTTGTAACCCGATTCACTCTTTCAAATGAGACTATTGACAGTAAGGTTCTGAAATATTTTGACTAAGATATGGTTAAAGTACATTCGTACGGAGTGGGGTAAAATCGGGTAAAAGTAGGATCCAGTTAAACGTGTCCAAATTGATTAGAACATTATCCAAATGGTTTAAATTTGGTATCAAAAGATTCGCCGTCTCTTTCTGCATCAATATGTGTACTCTCTTTGGAAAACTGAAAATAGACTGATTTGCGTCCTTATGTGCTCCCGTCCTATCGATTGAAGATGATACACTTATTAAGCCATTATGATTGAATATCTCTTGTAAATGATTTCATTGTCAGAAGACTATTAAAAGACAAAGAATGAGATTTTCATAAACAAGGAAGAAAAATTGTACTTCTTTGTACTTCTCGGTACTTCTTGATACTTCTTGATACTTTCGTACTTTTGAAGTACAGAGGTACGCTTGTCCCCTTTGTTCATAGAACTTATAATGATCTGTACAATATACGAAGGCATATACAAACAGACAAAACCAAAAACTAAATAGATTTGTGCGGTTTTTACTTTAATAATGTAATTACCAGAGTTTCCATACTCCGTAATCATCCAATAAGAAGGAACCAATAAACTTTAACTTTATTAGTCATTACTTCAAACATAATTGAAATTGACCCGAAGTAGATCAAAGAACGTCAAAGTATCTCGAACCGCCATTAAGGAAATCAAATTCTTATGATGTTATATATGACTGTTCATCAAATCGAATGAGTTTCTGGAAATTAAATGCCTTTACAGAAAGCCAATAATATACGGTAAACAACATAGATATTCAAAAAAATATGACCTTTCCTTACTCTCTCATAAGTCATGAAATTCTGAAGTGATACACATTGGTTAAGATAACAGTGAGTATACCGATATAGAGCACATCGCTTGCGCTTGGGTTAGAGCAGCTACAGAAGCGGAAAGTGCAATCCATGACTAAGGATTAGAGGATATGAGTGTAAGTGAATGGAATATGATACTCATGTTCACACTCACACCCACAATCCATACCTACAAAAAGATCTGTGACTGAAAAGATTCATTTTTCTTTTTAGTTTTTGGAAAAATGCAGGAAGCAGTAACGCCGTCATGTCAAGAGAAGAAGCATATATTCTTTGCCTATGCAGAAAAAGATGAATCCGATGTAAGAGTGGCTGAAAAACTGAAGAATCATTTCATCCAGAGACGATTGAGAGTTTACCACCCTAGAGAAAATGAAGACATCAATACTAAAATTGCAAATGGTATTGAAAATGCTGCTGTGGTGCTAGCTTTTCCATCCCGCTCATTACAAGTGTCAAAAAGTGGATCAAAACTATTGAATTACGCTGATCAAACTAAAACAGCGATTCTAAATATTAAGATTTGTGAAGATTTTCAACCTACAGACTGGTTAGGTGCTATTTTAGCTCCCACAAGTAGTTGCTCAGCTGATTTTAATGAAGTTATGAAATCCTTGATTTCTATGGGAATTAAAACTAATAATCTTGTTCTTGAAAGAGATGAAAAGAATGAACCACAGCCAATAGAAAAGCATCTGTTTTATGGCGGAACTAGATCGGGAGACGTGACCGCTACTTATCATCAGTTTGGTCAACAGTGTCCAATGGAATTTGAGGTATTTAATGAATTAAATTGACAGATATATTAATATCTAAGTTATATATTTCCATTAGTTTTTTGGTTTGCAACAAGGCAAAGTATTTGGTCAAGGAGATGATCAAGTTGGAGCTTTTACTCTTGCTGGTCAATACAAGCTTAAAGATGGCTATGGTGATATCAATATGCATAAGCAATATGTTGGAAAACATTCTGTTATATATCGAGGAGAGATTTATTTACAGGGAATGAAATGTTTGATAGAAGGACACTGGGAAATAAACAATATTTATGATAGATTTATTATCCATCTGACTCTTCCAGAGGTATATGCAGCAGAAATGGAAAAGATACCATTACCAAAAGCTTCACGAAGACAAGGAAGTAAAGTTATGATTTCCTATTGTCCATGTCAATATGATTTAGCTCAAAAGATAGCTGAAGGATTGGTTGCTAAAGGTATTTCAGCTGTTTGCCCGCCATTACGAATGCATGAAATGATAAAAATAGCAACTGAAGAAGCAAGAGTTGTTATACCATTAATGAGTGAAGCATATGAAGCATCGAATACTTCGAAATATGTTCTTTCTTATGTGGATGAAGCTGGTATTCCTATAGTTCCCATAAAAGCGCAAGATCATTATTCTCAAAGTAGTTGGCTTGGCGTTATTTGTGCTGGTGCATTATGGACGAAGATAACGGATGCAAATGACATTGAGAAAAATCTGGATAATCTTATAGGACAATTACATCCATATATCAGCGATTCTTTAGATGAAGAGCAACATCTTGGTGCTCTCGTTGATGGAACTCTTGTTCAAGGTTATTATATTCAATGGGGAAAGAAGTTTGATATGAAGTTTGATATGTTTGCTATGATAGATGGTTATATTGCTGGTCAAGGAGATGATGAAGTCGGTGGCTTTGTAATCAATGGGAAATACATCTGTTTATCAGATAAAGAAGACTTTGAATTCCAGTTTAAAAAGCATTATATCGGACAACACGATGTTCAATACTCTGGAACTATAACGCATCATGAATCTCAATTCTTCTTTGATGGAAAATGGTTTCTAGATGACTTATCTGATAGCTTCCATCTAGAAGTTTCTCGCAATCAATCATCAGGACCTAAAGGTTTGCATATCATGTTAAGTTATCAATGGAATAGTCAAGAGCTTGTTAAACGAGTAGCAGATATACTCAAACAAAGGAATATTCCTATTTGGTTTGATATTGCTGGAGATATGAAAGGGAATATCAATGCTGCTATGGCTTATGGTGTTGAAGGTGCTGCGATGGTTATTAGTTTTGATACTGTTGCTTATAGCAAAAGCATTAATTGTCAAAAAGAACTTACATATGCTTCTCAATTAAAGAAGAATATTGCTCCTGTTCTTCTTGAGAATGATAAGGGATTCCAAAACACATGGTTAGGCACGATAATAGCTTCCTTAAACGCAATCAATATGCAAGATGATAATCAATTCAACTCCAGTATCGATATTCTTGTACAACGAATTAATAGAGCTCTTGAAGAGAAAAAAGATGAAGATTCTCATCGGTCTCAAGTCATTACAAGGTTTGAAGGTGGTGCTGTACGAGGGAGATATTATCAATATCATCAAGCTTTTGATATGTTGTTTGATTTCTTTAGCTTAAGAGAAGGAAGAGTGTTAGGTCAAGGAAATGATGAAATTGGACCTTTCACAATGGCTGGAAATTATGATAACGAAGGAAAGGTTTCCTTCACAAAGCAATACGTTGGGCAACATTCTGTTGAATACAATGGAAATATCTATTGCGATAACTTGGGAGGGTTTAAGATTCAAGGACACTGGAATATTGAGGACGAAACAGATGAATTCTATCTGGAAAGTATTAATGCTTTCAAGTATGACACACTGACTGAAAACATTTAATTATTTGTAACAACAGATAAATGATTTTAACTCTTTGTCATTCTTTCTTTCACTTGAATTCGGGTGCGAATGTATGGAGTATGATACTCATGTCCACACCAAAACCCACACCCACACCTATAGCCTTTCTAGCTTTTGAGTAGTACATCATTCCGATGCTGAAGATCAGCAGTCACATTTAATTCTGACGGTTCTTTCAGTTAATAAGGTTTTTGATGCAGTAGATCAACGAACGTCATGTGCATACTTTTCCTATCTTCTCGAATCACATTATTCATTCAGCTGAGGGGTTTTGGTGAATGACATTTTTTGTTAGTTTATTGCTCTCATTTATTGAAAGCATTATTATTTCAAAGTGAGAAGGGATATTAGGTTAGTCCACTTGCGTCGATGATGTTGATTTCTATTGACCTCGGGTTCAGTTTCTTTTCGACTGGCATATTTCTTAGATTTTAGCTAAACGTATGTGTCTAGAGACTGTTAGTATAACCCTAGTGCTTTCAATTTTGAATTTAGAGCGGTCAACACTACTTTGTGCGAAAAGTGACAGTATCAAGACATGAATGAGGGACCGAACGTGTGTACCAGAGTTTGAGTAGGAGTGAGGAAGTTTGACGCTTCATATACTATCATTTCCAACAATTGTGTGTTTAAATACTTCTATAATTTTCGTTTTTGATATTTTTATTTTTGACATTTTTACCTTTTGACCAAAGTAGAGTGAACGTCTGGAGTCTTGTCATTGATGATGAATAATTTTTGTAGAAGCAACCCAAGTGTTACTTGGCTAGATCTCAGATAATAAGGGATGAAGGCTTGAAACGATGGTGATCCATAAAAATTTTCTCTACTGGCTAGATTCGATCGATTACAAATATGTGCGACAGTGATGCAAAGTTGAAAAAATTTTGTTCTGAACGAAATCTATGAGGCAGTCTTGCCAAGTAAGTGAAAGATCTGGTAGTTATTTTTTGCGGAAAATATCGCTTAGTTTATTTCCAATAAAGTGGTATTGTTGTTCCCTCCACTAAAACGAGGATCATATGAGAAAAAATGAGTTTGCTTAATCGTTCTAAGAAATCAGTTACGTATCCACAATCATACTTCATAGACGTCGGTGCAGAACACTCTTTCCATAGACACTTGTTGGTAAGGCATGATGTACGAATAAATCATATATATTGATCTTTTACTAAAAGAAAGAACACACTCTTGGTTCCACTTGCAAACTCGCTACCCCACATCCCATCCCATACTAACACGCACGTCTTTGTTAAGTACTATTTTATTATCAGTAACAGAAATACGAACAAAAAAGTGAAATCAAGTTGTTGGAACAATTGTAACAAACGACGAAAAATGGGTCGACATATTATTTTCACAAGATACAGTGGCTTTAGCATAAGACAAAAGTAAAAAAAACACAACAGAAAAACAACAATAATAAGAGCGTGGGTAGTTGTGTGATGTGACAACTTTTGATTTTATATAGAACAAGTGTCACATTCACAAGATACGTCATCGAAAGAATGAGAAGCATCAGGAGGACAGAACAAGAATAGGCCGAGAAATCTAGCAAAGTGTACTTATATCAAAGCTGTACGACTTATCTTCAAAACGCATAAGTTTTTCTCTCATATTTCATTTTATATAGTTCTACTGCAGCATCTCCTTGATCACCAGCAGCACTCCTTAAAATTTCTTCTGTTACAAAATCGGTCAGTGACTCAGCACCATCCGAAGAATAAATATCTAAATGTTCACAGCGTCCTTGCGTCTCTCTCGCAATTTTTCGGAAATCACCCTTTGCATAATCAGTAAGATAGAACGCATGCACAGGGATGCTGTTCTCTTTTAACTTTTGTAATTCATACTGATAATATGTTGGCTTACTAAATCTAGTTTTTTCCCAATATGCTTCACCAAAACTTCCTCTTTTCTGACTGACCTCTTTTTGTGTATTCGCTGGAGCATCTCCTATTAATATTACTTGAGAGATTGAGTTTTGCATTTCGCTTTCTTTAACTGCGTGCCATAAACCTATTTCAATGGCTTCGTTCCCCCATCCACCTTCAGGGTGGATTGTGTTCATAAATGCTCTTAAATTACTAGCTTTTGTCTCCCACGAAGAAGTTTGCAAAATTTTATTCGCTTTAGAATTATAGTTTCGATATATAGCAATTTGCATTTGAAATGCATCACTAGGAAGCATTTTTTCTTTTAAGATGTCAGAAGCTCGCTCAAACATTGTACACACCGTTTCTTTCGTAGCAGATAACAAATTCGACATAGAGCCTGTTGCATCCATTAATAAAACCGTACGTGAAGTTTTCGGAACTGAACTTGCTCCCCGATTTTGTTCCAACAAAAAATTCTTTACAGTCTTCATGTTACCTTCGGATAATGCAGTCATAAATTCTTTAGAAGCATTATGTTCATGCTTGCATTGCTCTATACCAAGTTCTTTCGCAGCACATTTACTTTCATAAATTGCATTGCGAGCCTTATTCAAAGCTGCATAAAGAGTAGTGCCTAATATTTTTGGTAGCTCTGTCTTCCAATTAGGACCGAGAACCCATTCTAAATCTTTATCTAGCAAAATCATTCTGTATGAGCCATAATCTCCTTGTCGTGCACCTCTACCTATAATTTGGTATTCTTCAGATAATTCTTCAGAGAAAAATGTTTGAAGTACATGCATACCTCCATTAAGTAAGAGTTGTTGATTACGACAGATAAAATCAGTACCTCGTCCGAATGTTCGAGTTAACAGTGTAATTCTACCAATCATCGCTGCACGTTTAATATACAACTCTCTTTCTTTTACAGAAACTGTCTCGGTTATAATTTGGACGTCATTTTTTTTAGATAATAACTCTGGAGACTCGTAAAATTTCATTAATTTTTCTTCTGATTCAAAAAATACGAGAATCGCACGATCGGCATTGCATACACTGTCAATCTCTCCACGAATTCTCATGAAATACTCAGACTCATTCATGACTTGTACATCATTGTTCGGATTATACGTACGATTGCTTCTGCCAAATACCGATGGCATAAATGTGTATTTTTGCACATTGTACACATATCGTAGTATATCTGTTTCTGTCCTGACAAGTGTCCTCAAAGTGCCAGTTACACCGGTGATATAAGCAAATTCATGCGGCATTTCAGCATACGAAAATGTTCCACAATTCACTATGATACCAACATTCGCTTCTAGGCTACTCTGGCTAATATTACCATTTCCGTTTTCCTGATAGTAAGCCCAAACTGTATCGTAGCCTCGAACTACATTGTCAACTATGGATTCACCTTCGACATAAACAATTTTATCATTCTGGACAATATGAGTAGAGGACAGAAACGATTGTAATACCGCTATCATATCTTTTATTGCCTCATCGAGAAGAAAGGTCCAGTTGCTAAATCGAGCTGCACAAGTCTGATATGCCGACGTGACCTTAACACTCTCTAAATCTCGTAGTGTCTTGTTTTGCCAAATAGTATCTAACAAATTCTTAATGGAGGAATCTCTCAAATATACCGAAGGCGTATACGTGCCACCATAGAATTTTTCACTCAAGAAAACATCTACTTCATCAATCAATAACACTTTGGGACGCAAATATACAGTCGCTCCAACTACGGATATTGCACGTTTATTATTGATAATCATATCACGCACCTTCTCCCGCACATTGCATCGCTCATTTAATAGGTTTTCGCACAATTTATTAAAAGTACCATATTCAATACGTTCTTCTACTCCGAGAGCACGAAAAACTGAAGCAAAATCTTTCTTATCTCGTGCACTTAATACTTCACTATAACATGAACAATTGACATCCACTCCTAAGAGAGCGAAAACGCACGCTGTTACTGCCATTACAACTGATTTGCCTTCACCTGTTCCTATCTCTACTAGATTATTAATCAAATCATCAGAGATTTTCTCTGTTAAAGATTTATTAGATCCTTTGATTTTTGTGTATTTATTGTAGCCAATACCAAGAATACGGAAAATGGCAAGAACTTGTGCAACATGAGGCATTAGCAAATATGCGCGTGCAGATTCAATACCGCGCAATGCATTATAATGTTGCGTGTTTTTCAAAGTCCAGACAGCGAAAATATGCGCCAATAATTCAGGAATCTTATCTTTGAAAGAGTGATCCCAAATAATAGTATTCGGTTTTTTAGTTACTGTTGCCACAAGAGCTTTAGTTTGATTGATTAATACTTCTAAATCAGGTTCGTTATCTTTTTTCTGATCAAATACTCCTAAAATTCGAGATATTAAATCGTCATACGTTGCCCTAAAAGTTTGATAACATGTAGCTAAAACATCTGTTGTAATATCGTCGCCGGCTAATTCTTTCAGAACATACTCCAAATTATCCTGATTTTGCATTTTTTCACGTCGTCTTCGCCAATCTTCTCCACTTAAAGAAGAATGCTCGGATATTAATCGCGCACCGATATCTGTTTTTTCTAATATCATAGTCAATTGCATAAGTACTGCCGGACCTTCTTGTTGTTTGTAAATTTTAAGTATCTCGTCGATCTCTTCATTGATTTTATTATCGAACATCGATAAATTTTCAGCAAAAAATTTCATTTTAGTTAACAACTTAGCGACTTTTGGAACATCCGAACTTGAAGATCTTATCTCTTTGCTCAAGGACATTACTTGATCAAAAATTTTCTCCTCTGATGCATCTAAAAATTGTCGAGCATCGAACCCTATCCTAGCTGTATATTTATCCAATGATGCTAGATGGTTGTAAAACATACGAAATTGATCGGAGTCTCGTGAAGACAACTCGCCTTTTGATGCGATCGCAAGTAGTTGAGCGCCAAGTTTTTGGATCTTCTTTTTCAGCTCTTCTTCTAACTTATCAATATCCACTTTGAACGGTAAAATATCTTTTAATTTGGAATCGATCTCCTTCAATGTATTCAATAATTTCATAAGATGGCCGAAAAATTCTTCACGCTTTTTTTCGAACTGTGTTGTGTCGTAACTAATGAGTTCCACATCTAATTGATCTTTTAAATAGCTAATCTCTTTCTGCAGTTCAGCAATCATATTTGTGTATGAAATTACATTCGTTATGTCTTTTATCAAGACTTGAACCGACTCATGTTTTAAATGACACTTTTTAATCTTCTCTAGGAGTCCATCCCATTGCTTAGCTATTATCAAAATTTTATACAATTGAACAATATGCATTTCCTTAATAGCTATATGATATTTTTCAGAATTTTGATATAAATATTGGTACATTTTTTGAAATGAATCGCTACCGTTTTGCAACACATGTTTGGGAAGAAACTGTTCAGTTTCTTCATGAAAAGTGGTTGAAAAACTTATGCAAATGATTATATTTTGAAAGGCTTCCTCAACAATGTGTGTTTGTTCTATCGTGGATATGTTGACAAGCGTGTCACAGCAATTCAAAAAATGTTTGATTATCAGGTCACGAATGTTTTTACTAACTGCTTCTATTTCTGGAATGTAAGAACCTACGGATTCTTTATATTTCAAGATTTTCTTCGCGATATTAATAGCAAATTGCATATCTTGCCGATCTAACGCACTCGCTACATTTTCTTGATAGAGTTGCAACTTTTTTAAAGTTTCAGTTCGTAATGTTTCAAAAAGTTCATTCGCATTTTGTTTACTATAACGCTGAGCAAGTATGCCTAGTTTTCGAATAGTATGATCGTCATCGTCTACATTCTTTAGAACTTCATTCAAATCACGTCTCAATGCTTTCTCTTCATCGGTTACTAATTTACTCAATTCATCGATCTGCATTTTGAATGGAGCTTGTAACTCATCCGGTAAAAAACACAAGGCCCCATTTAACGAACGTACCTTATTGGCACGTTCCTCCAACGCTGCAGCACGTACTTGTTCTATAGCTGTACTAAAATTTTGCCTGATTTTTCCCAACATAATATTGTAGACTTGATTAAATCTAGCATTACCACGTAATGCAATTATCCTTAATTTTGTGATAAGATCTTTTGGTGAATTCATGGAATATGTATTAATGTCTTCAAAGTCACGTTGTAAGATCTCATTAACTATACCATCCAATCTTTCTCTAAGCTCTTTACTTTTTTCGATCAAAGCAGTCGATGTACAATAAGCTGCTAATTCACGCTGTACACGACTGAGATTTTTCATACCTTGCTCCGCTTCCAAAAAACTGTCAATATTGATAAGAGCTTCAATAGCATCAAATCCTTGTATTATAGTATCCGATAAAATTTTATTGATATCATACATAAATGCCTCAAGTTTGATTTTGATTGTCTTGTCGAGTAACTCCATAATGTTGTGTTTATTCAAAGCAATTTTAATCTTCTCGATTTTTTCTTTGAATTCTTGTATTTGGCTCCTGTTATCTTCCTCTCTTTCGATTTTGTCACATAGCGCATACGCAATACTATTGATATCCGTCATCAGCTTATATAAAGAACTTTGTAAGTCATGTTTAATTTGAGCTAACTCTTTGTCATTTAACAGTATGTCATTGATATCGGCTAATGATATAGCTACATTTGCATAATCTTCCCTTGATATATGATCTAATACAGTCATATAAGCTGCTTTAAATTGCCTACTTGCTTCGACCTGATAATGTTTATACAAGGCTCGAAACCCATTGCCTGCAAACACAGAGGTACAGAAACTATCTACACAACTCAATGCTTGCGCAATGTTTAATCGGGCATGTAATTCCCTGTTATTGTTGGACAATTTGAATTCTTCCATTTTATCGCTCAGGCTCTGATAATAATCCAAAAATATGCGATTCCAATTTTCTAATTTCTCGGCTCCATCTATGCAATCAGAAACACTAGCAAACCTGCTAAGAGAAGATAATTCTCGCAGTCGCGTTTCTAAATCATTAGAATATTTAGAATAGTCTTCTCTACAGTCAATACTAAGAACATTCTTAAAGTTTCTCATTATTTCTTGGTTCAAAAAATTACCATATTCACTAATGTACTTTTTCAAGGTCATGCTTATATCAACTGCGATTTCTTTTACACGAATATAGCATCCTTTTTCGCATTGACTGACGTACAATAGTGCACTATTTGCTATTGAAGAATCGAACCTGTGACTGAAATCATACGGTTGCTTATTCTTCTCACGTTCAACAATAATTCTCTTCTTCTCTTGAATACTAGCAGAAAGACATTCAAAACTATTAAATCCTTTCTTTCGAAGAAAATTGATTTCTTCTGAAGAAACCGATATACTTGGAGCTAATGACGGATCATGCTTTCTCTTCATTGTTTCAAGGTGATTTAAAGAATAACTGGATCCTGTAGGTTTATACTGATTCTGGAGCTCTGTTTTTTGTTTGTTTTTTAGAGATTCAATATCACCATTCAATGAATCTATATCTAAAAATTCTTGTTTTCGTAAAGCTGCATGGGCTGGATACAAATTCGCATAGTCGCGTTTGATTTGTTCAAGTTCCCTCAGTTCTTGTTTTATTTGATACACAGTGCTATCTTGTAAATTGAACGTTCTTTGTATACAATCGAATGTATCCTGAGTAGACTTGAAAAAGTATTCGAATAGGCGAAGTCTGTGCTTTTCAAGCTCTGGAACGCTACTTTCCAAGATGCTTAAAGATTCAATTTTCTCAAGAATTTCTTGTGCTACAGTGACGTTCTCATGACATTTCAAACTTAAATCCAGTTTCATCAAACGATGTTCCAACTGATAAGCATATTGCATCAACTCTTCTCCAATACGGCGCATCAAAAGATCGTGTGCTCCTGAACTAATGCGATTAATCCATTTAGCATTTTTCAAACGAGACAATGATTTTGTAAGACATCTATAATTGGTGTTTTCTGACTGACTATCAATAACGACAAGAAACTTCTGTGCCTCTTTCTGCAACTGTTGTATGTATCTACGAGTGTTTTCAATGGTACGATAATATGCTCCAGCTGTCTTTGACTCAAGTCCTGGTATTGTACGAATGGCTTCCATTACTACAACCATTTGTTCTATAGTTTCTAAAGCATGATCTTCGTTTTCCTTAAAAAGTTCTTCGATCCTAATACTAATTTGATCAAAGTACATGACAATTTTTGCAATGAATTTATTGTAAATTTCATTCAAATCTTGAAAATTTTCTTCGGATGTATCGGTTTTGTGTTTTAACATTTCCATATATGTAGAGATACGATCTTGAAGTGCACTATTTTCTTTAGCTGAACTTAGTATTTCCATGTAATTTCGCAATTTTGTCACATCGCTGTCACTTAAATGGGGTTTCGCCAAAAGAGGATCTGCTTTGTCAATGAAACTACTTAAGTATTCTACGAGAAATTTAACAGTTTCTCGATACTTTTGTTCAATATGTTTACCCAAATGATTTTTTAAAGCTTGTGACGCTTCTGACATTGTAAGAATGATTCCAGCAACATGTTCGAATTGGTTGGCTACAATGGGCTCTCGTGCCGATTGCACTAGTCTTTCAAAGCTCTTTGAAAATTCGTCACAACTTGCATTATAATTTGATTCGAGTAACTTTAACGAGTTTTTGAGCAAGCAAAAATTATCTAGGAAGGCTTTTACCAAAGGACTGCGTAAATCTTCTGTTATGAGCGCATGACTTCTTTTCTGCAGTTCAGAATTTATATTTTGCATCAGTGTCGTTGCTGACATTAAGTGTGATCCTAAATGTTCACTCAATTTTTGAGTATCTTCAATGTAGTCAATAAAAGCTATGTAATCACGAATGTCTTCCGCTCTCAATATATCTTGACTAACAAGAGAGCGATTAAATTTTTGCATCATTTCTGCATGACACTTGGCAACACTCTCTTTTACAACGTTTAGAGAATCTTCGTAAGCATCTCGGACAAAACTTTGCGTTAACAAGTTCTTGAATGTCTTTAAATCATTCAAATAATATTTCACAAGGTCATTATCTTTGTATTTCATCGCACACATGATACTCAATTTATATTTTTGTACTTGGTTTGCAATAGTGGTCTGTGTTTCTTCACTCATCGAAAATCGAAAAACTTCTGCTGGATATTGAATACCAGATACAAGTTTCAATTTCTTAATCAACTGTTTCGGATCACCATGAACAGGATCTATTATTTCAGCTCTGCTCTTAGTTTTCTCTATCATATCGTCCAATATTTTCACAAAGGTACTATCCGATTTCAACAAAACATTTGTATCTATTTTCGAAGCTTTGATATCTAATAACAGTGCATTAATATTCGTTGTCAGAGGGTATTTTGTAAATGCGTAAAAAATTGTGTTTAATTGATATTCTATTCCATTTATTATACTGATCAACATGTGGGCCAGTTTCTGAATGTTTTGACCTGTGTCATCTAAGCCTTGGTAACTTGACAGAGCAAGTAGCTTGACACTCGAGCATCCCTTAAGAGCTTCAATAACTCCTACACTATTTGCAATATCTAATTCTGCGTCTGACCTGTTACCAAAATCAGGTGCATCACATAAAATAATATATCCGGTCTCATGAGGACCAAAAATATCATCCAATGGCACCATGACAGGCACAATATACCGAGTTTCTGACTTGTTTAGTGGATTACTTGTCACATTACTCAATCTGGAATTATTAATAAGACCAGTAGGTTCAAGATGTTTCAAATATTTTCCAGGGTCAACTTCTACCTTAGTTTCTTTCATTCTAGCACCTGTGAGAAATTGAATTGTAGTAGATTTTCCGCTTCCAGTCGCACCGACTAAAAGAATGATATCTTTGTTCCGGATTAATTTAGCTACTTCTTCCGCTTTAGTTGTAAGCCTTCGTATCTCTTGCACATTTAAAGGCCAGATTTCCTTTAGAAGTTCTTTCAAAATACGCACCGTAGAAAAATAATCGTCTCTACGTACATATGTATCTAACTCTTGAAGATTCATCCTAATTTGTCCCGAAATTAACTCTTGCCTTTTGATCTGGCTATGGAGAAGGTTTAACAAATCGCTCGGTGAGGCTTTTGTTAATGAACTAACGTGATCTTTCAGTAGTTTCTGTTGAAAATACTCTTGAAGCTCCATGATCGTCTTTTCAGCACAAGTAGGCATGATCGTTAAATCTTCACTTAAAACGTTAAGATCCTCTTTTATTATTCTTTCTTTGTTTAGGATCATGCTTTGGAAACTGCTAATATCTTCTTTAAGTTGTACCAATTCTATCAGTTCAGTCAAATCTGTTTTTGCTCTCTCGGTCTTTTCACTTTTTCTCCTCCTTTGATAATCTTCAATGCGTCTTTCTGTTTCTTGTATTTTTTCTGACAACTTAGTCACATCCAGAATTTCCCACTTTACCAAACCACTAACTAATCTTTGTTCCATATATTGAAGTTTTAATTTGTCAGCGTTCATAGAACTTAGGAGAACAGCGATTTGTTTCGACAGCTCTACTAACTCTTTCAATTCCTTCATCTTTGTTTGTTCTCTCTCGACCTTTTCATTCTTTTTCCTTCTTTGATAGTCTTCAATTCGTTGTTCTGTTTCCTGTATCTTTTCTGGTAACTTAGTCACATTCTGGATTTCCCACTTTGCCAATCCGCTGTTCAATCTTTGTTGTAGTTCAAAAAGTGTCAATCTGTTACCTGTTTCTCGTGAAAGTGAAACATTTCCGACCGCTGTTAATAAGTTTTCAATCATCAATTGTGCACTATTTCTTTGACCATCTTGCTTTCGCAAATTCCTTGTCTGTAAAATATCGTCTGCATACACTCTAGAAAATTGATTTTGCACTCTGACTGGAACAACATTTGGGCCATTAACCGGATCAATATATTCAGCCCGTTTAATTTGTCCATCTGCTTCGAATTCTAATAAAAGTCCCACCCAATGCGAATTTCCGACATGGTATGGGATAAGTGTGATGCGCTTCCCTGTACGAGATCTTTTTTCTTCTTGTAGCCGTTGTTCCAATTGACCTACAATAGTGTCATCAACAGCATCTAGTACCTTGATTGGTTTTGAAAAGTATTCAGGAGACTGTTGACGTAACTCTTCCAACCGATTAAGTAGAGCTGTCTGGACATCATTCCCATTATATTGTCTGTTAGTAAAATGTTCAACATATTCCATTCCTTAAGACAATGGCTATCTTGTAGCAAGCGTATTGGATTTTGTTATTTGCTAAAGTGAGCAGGTCAAATATTCAGAAATGAAGCGCTGTTGAAGTATACCTAAGATAGAATAATCCCTTTATTACTATTCGAAAGTGACAACTGTACATTTTAACGTGACTCCCTTCTTTCTTTCTCGCAAATTATTTTCACAATGCACATATA